GGTCTTCCCTCCTTTCCAAAGCTACCGGGCGTTTTATTAGGAGCCGGGCCGCTGTGTAACGCAACCTGACGGTTCATTTTCTGAAGTTATGGAGATCGGGGTTAGGGGGATTAGGTGCGCAAAACTCGGACAAATCCATGAAATGCTTGAAACACCAAAATCTTTCAGTTTTTTTACAGAAATTACACAAAAACTTTTAAAGCTGTAATCTTTAAACAGATTGTGTTTCTAAGGGTAACTAAACAAATTGTTGAAACACAAAAATGACTCTCACGACTTAGATTTTCTGAAAAATTATTGTATCTGATGATCGATGTTTAAATTGCTGACAAGACGGTTTATATCAATAAAATTATATCTTTGTAACCCGATAAAACACGGAAAATTGTTGAAACAGATTTTTCGAAATTCGCGCTTTTGACGATCCCGATTTTTTTGTGGCTACTCATATGTAAATTGTTGAACCCGTTGCTCAGATGCCCGGATTATATTTGCAAAACTCGCAAAACCCCAGAAAATCCCTTAAACAGTAATTTATTTTCGAAATTTTTGAAAATTCCTATTTTTGTGAAACGGCTATATGTAGATGGTTGAAAGGTCTGGTTGTTCGTTTACAATCATATTTGAAAACTCGAAGTACCTCAGAAAACCATTGAAACAGACATTTTCGAAAGAAGACGATGACTAATGATCGAGGGGATGGCTGACGGCTCGCTTCATAAATATGGATGACGATCGAAAGAGGGGCTTTTCGGCTTCTTCCTTTCCTTTTCGCCGATCATCACACGATGAAGTGATTTTTTTGTTTTTGAAGATATGTTTTCAAGTTTTTCAAATATTGAACGTTTTATGATTTATTTGTTCAGAGATATTACTTAAGATATACTTGAGGCCTTGTTTTCTTATATTCACACTTTTTTTTGGTAATTTTTCATAAAAAGGTTATCTGACAGGAGCTTCTCTTTTCTATAATGCAGCAGGACAGAAATGGATATTTTGCGCGTGTTAGAAGCGGTCCCGAGTTTTTTACATCACAGGACTACGGCAGATTGCACCCATTCATGAATTTTGATCTTTACTTTTTCCTGAAACATTTTATTTTCTTCCGAAAATGTGTCGGCTAGGAGAGTTTTTTTAGAAATGCCTTCTTTTAAATTTCACGCCTAGCGCGAGGCAAGCAGGGGGTAATTTAGCATTTTCGTAAAATAGGTTTATATCAATGAAATATCGAAGTTTGGAAGGCAGGCTAGCAGGCATCTTTTGGGAAAATCAGAAAGTGGGGGTTCGGAATCGTATAATCTCACAGTAACAAAATTGAACGTTTTACGGCTTCTTGAAACATTGAAATTGAATGTTTAATCAATTTAATCAAGCATTTTTAAACGTTTTGGTTGCGAATGTAATTGGAGTTTCGAAGTAATGAATTGGTATCAGTTCAGTTCCCCGACACTCGGTTCCCCGACAATCGGTTCCCCGACAAATCAGTTCCCCGACAATCAGTTCCCCGACAATCAGTTCCCCGACAATTATAAGGTGCTATTTTAACGTAATTATAATGGTGGTATCATTACCTAATTGTTGGGGAACTGATTGTCGGGGAACTGATTTGTCGGGGAACCGAGTGTCGGGGAACCGATTGGAATTCAATGAATTACACTGAGAACCTAACACTCCCAAATGCTAAAAAACACATTTCTTAATTTTTTCTGAAACATTTAATCTTCCGAAAACCGGGTCGGGAAATGGGGTCATCCATGTTTGTAGAAATTTTTTTCATAGGAATTTCATTCTCAGGGCAGGCTGGCAGGGATCATCCAGGAAGATTGCGGAAAGCAGCTTTGGGTTGTAAATGTAATTAGTTAATTAGATTTCACCTTATGCCTCCCATTTACCGAATTCCCAAATTTGAAATTCCCAATTTTTAAAATTTTATGAAACATTTAATTTTTCCAAAAAGCTGTTCGGCTTGACGATTTCCATTTTCATAGGTTGGGAGCCTAGGATTCCAAAAACCGGGCAGGCTAGCAGGGATCATTTCGGAATCCTTCACCAGCCTATCGACCATACAATTTCACCCCTTATATTCCACGAGACGCCCCATTACACGCCCCCGTTTTTCTATAGCGCGGCCTTCTGCGCGGAGTCGATCTCCCTCGCCTCCTCTTCCTCAAATTTTCCGGGGATCCCGCCGCGAAATGGGCTCAATTTTCCGGCCCGCCCGGCATCGGCTAGAATGAGGTCATGTTATGCAAATTTAATGGCCGGCCAGATGGTGGGGAGTCGATTTTCTCCGGGTTCTAAAAGTACACTAGCGTACTGTAACTTTAAACTTATATATATAGTTGGATCAACTATAATAAAAAAGTTGTGGTGTCTGTCCGTCCGTCTGTCCGTCTGTCCGGTCCCGAATTCAACTCGAAGGGGAAAGGAGCTAGAGCTTAGCTCTCTTCGGATTCGGATAGAGCGTGGTCAGAAACCCCCAAACTGATAAAAAAATTATGAAAAAGTTTTAATTTAACCTATTAAAATTAGCTGTGAAAGTTTTTTCCTTATTAGTAAAAGGGGTGGGGGACGCGGGTTGGGCTGATTTTGGACATAGTGAGCCAGGTGTCGCGCGTTTCGTGGATGAAAATTTTCACGGGAGCCATTTCATTTCTTTTTCCTCCCACTTATCCGGTCGGTCGTTATTTTTGTTTTTAAGGGAATTTCGTCTAGCGGAGGTATCTAAAGCCATCGGGAAGGTATCGAAGTAGTTTTTTAAGGGGATTTCGGCTATGGGGGGTTTCTGAAAACACCAGCATATGTATTCATGAAAGTGGAGAGGGATGTGGTGGTGTAGAATATGTAGGGTAGCCTGAAGGCCAGTCGATTACAGTCGCGAAGCGGCTGTAATCGGCTGGTTTAAATATAATTTTTATTTAGTGCTTTTTGAGGAAAAAATTTATAACAAAAAAAAATGCAAATTTTATGGCTTTTAAAATGATAGGGTGCCGATTTTCGAATTCGAGAGTTCTGTAATTTTAAATCAATACTTCCATGTAAATTTTTACAAAATACATTTTGATTTGGAGGAAATTTAGCAGAAAAACATGATCTGAACTTTTACGGGTGTATACAAACATTTCGGGTTGTGATAACTACCTCGATAATTAATAACCAAAAAATTTGACCACTAGTAGAAGGGCTTTGAAGCATTGTTTTTTTTTAAAAAAAGCTGGAATTCCTAAGATCCTTCCTAAGCTGGCTTTCCGAAAGTTGGCTGACTTCTCCCCTTTCTCAACAATCTCTGCTAGCCTGCCCTCTCCTCTTCCTCAACAATCTCTGCTAGCCTGCCCTCTCCTCTTCCTCAACAATCTCTGCTAGCCTGCCCTCTCCTCTTCCTCAACAATCTCTGCTAGCCTGCCCCGTAATGATGATGTCACCCTCCCTTTAATGGTGCTATCCTCACCTGTGTGATCTGCTGTCTGTGTGATCTTCTGCCCTCCCCTACCCCGTCCTCCCATAAATGCCTTGGGGCACCATTTTTTGGGGGCGGCATTCAATCGATGGATGGACCCTTGCTCTCCCCCCCTCTCTCTCTCTCTCTCTCTCTCTCTCTCTTCCCATACCAAGGTACCCCCACAAAAACACAATGCCGTCCCCAATTTGCATAGACACCCACGTACCTGGATGACCTCCAGAAAGCGCCTTCTTCTTTTACTCGCATATATTTGAAAATTTAACGTTCATATTACCTTCCATAAGCAGCCTTCTATTGTTATTTTCAACATAAAAAGACATTGTGAGTGAGCGCGCAAGATTTTTCTCGGTCTCGAAATTGCACGAAACATTTTCTTGGAATTTTATGAGAGAGAAAGCAAAGAAAAAGTTATGGCAAAAAAATTTACAAAACCTGTTACAGAAAGTCATCGATCAGTGCATTTTCGCCTGGGATTTACAATTTTTTGCAACATTATTTTTTAAGTAAAATAAACCGTTGAATTTCACAACGTTTTAGTATAGCTTAATTTACATTTATAATCCAAAAATAATGATTTTGGAAGTTTACTAGGGAAGGTGAAGGGTCTTTGCCGCCCTAATATTCGTCTCAAATTTCACAATTTAATACGCCGTCCGTCACCGCCCGAGGGGGAAGTAATTCGAGCGATTTTATAAACTCCTCTCCCGGGCCGCTTTCCCTCCCAAAAGATCACTGCTAGCCACCGCTACGAAGGTTACTATTAACGCTTCAACACAATTCGATTTTATTTAAAAAAAGTTCATTTTCAAAAATTTCGATCTTATGAATGTCGACATTATCAAAATTCTAGATTGTAAAATTTCGATGTTCTGAACCTTCGATATTTCGAAATTTCGACATTATGAATTTCGACTCTGCATTTTTCGCCATTATGAATGTCTACAGTATAACATTTTACTATGAAATTTCGGCATTATAGGATTTCGATGTTATAAAATGTCGACATTATGAATCTCGACATTCTTCATTGCGACTTTGCGTATTTGCGACGTTATAAATTTCAACGCTATTCATTTCGACGTTTTAAAATTAATCTCAAAATCAGATGATCACTCACGCGTCCGATCTGCCCTCTCCATCGTCACCATTCTGTACGCTGAAGGCCTATAGACCGAGGAGTGTCGCCTCCGGACACAGTGATGCCGAGGTGAATATTTAAATTTTTTGTGTCATGGGTTAAATTTTTTTAATATGAAAAAGATTTTGAGAAATCGGGCAAAAGAACAGGAATTTCAATCGTCAAATTTTTCCAGACTCTACGCATTAAAGTGAAGTCACGATTCGAGAGCGATTTTCGGCGCGTATCTTTTGTGGTGGACAGCCGACACGCGCTGCCGACATGTCAAGGTAATGCTGTTTAAAACTACCATTTTCGCGTTAATTTTGAACCGAGTTAAAAAATCTATGTTTTAAAAATTTTTAAAGTTGCAAGAAATCAGTTTGTTTCAATAAAAGACCGTGCGGACTTATCCATTTTAATTTCTGAATACCTTAACCTTTATATTTAATTGGATTTAACTGATGGTGCCGTTCAAAAAAAACTACTGTTTTTATATCTTAAATTTTGAAAAGAATTAAAAATAAATGTTTAAAAAATTTCAAAATATATGAGAAGTCAATTTGTTTCAATCACAAATCTATTTCGGATTTATTCCTTATTTTTCCTTGTGGATACCTTAACTTTTTAAATTAAAGTAAATTTAATACAATACAAAAATATAGTAATTCTTCAGAATTCACCGAATTAATTTTCCTCCTCCACGGCCTCGGGGAAGAGCAGCGAAATTCGGTGAAAATCATGTACACCTCGGCCGACGGCACAAACCTGCCGATTTCGAATGACGAGGTAAGAGCCCAGAAATTCCCTAGGAATCCCTGCTAGCCTGCTCTATTGATTTTTTTCAGTTTTCCTCAATTTTCCCTGCTAGCCTCCCTATTTTTAGAACTTCTACAAAGCCCTCGATGACAACGAGAAGCTGCTGCGTGTGGTCGTCCAGAATAAAGCAGAGTCGCTCGAGGTGCAGTTATATTATTTATTAAAAATTCTTGAGTTCCCTCGTGTTAGTTGCAACATATGATTTTAAAACCGAAAAAATATTTTTACTTTTTTCGAAATTAGATGTTTCATGTTTTTTGATTGTTACGACGAGTTTTGGTATTTTTAATCTGATTCTTTTCCGATACAACAAAAGCAAAAATCAAAGAGCCCTGGCACCAAATTTAGAATACGTTTTAGAATTAAATTTGTTCCAATTACCGTAATCGCTGAAAAATAAAAAAATTATTTATTAAAATTTCCCGAGATTCCTGATTTTCCAAAATATTACTCTTTTTTGAAAGTTATGTTTCATGTTTTTCCAATGTTAGGACGGCTTTTGGATTTTTAATCAGGCGAGTTTTAATCAGACCAGCCAGCCAACGTCAAGTTGAAACGAATTACGGTAATCACTGAAAAATAAAAATGTTTATCTATATTAAAAGAGCCGAACTTAATATTTATCAAAGATGCCCATTTTTCTCATTTTAGTTACAACACCGATTTTAAAAACGGCCGAAAAACATTTTTTGCTTGTTTTGAAAAACTTTGTTTCATGTTTCTCCATTGTTACGACCAGTTTTGGGTTTTTAATCAATGATTGGTTATCAAAAAGAACACAAGGATCCAATGCCTCAGATTAAAAATGGATTACCGGAATCACCCAAAATTAAAAAAAAATTAAAAATGGGAATTCCAGGAGCGCTTCGGCTACGGTCTCTCCGAAACGACGTTGCGAAAGAAGAAAAATATCAGCATCAGCGCCCCGCAGGATTTTCGAAGGGTGCGTTTCTGGGAGTAATAGTTGCTAGTTTCACATCATAAAGCCGTGGTTTAAAGGGATGCCGACGGCATAGTCAATCGGTTACGCGCTGGAAAGAAATTTTGTCTGCGCCTCTCCCCAGGGCGCGCTCTCTCCCCTGTTGGCTACTTGCCAATTTGTTGATGGGGGGGGGGATCGACACATGCCGTCGGCAGCCCTTTAAGCATTTTTTCGTTGAAAATTAAGATCTACCGAAGGAAAATAAACGGACACAAAATATGAATTTTATTAAAGAGATAGGTTTCAGAATTTATAGCAACTAGCGCAGAAAAGTTGGCGCTAATGTGTTCTCGACTTTATTACGACCAACTTTCATCAATAATTCAAGATTTTAATGTTTTAATCCAATTTATTGTTAATTAAAATTAGACGTATTTTTTAATCATTAGTCTCTATAATTATTTGTTTATTTACAGGTCTCCTCTATCATCGACACCGATATTCTGCCCCCAGAAATCGTCCGCGTTCGCCTATGCAAATTTCACACGAACCTTCCCCTTGGATTTTACATACGAGATGGTAAGTGAGAGGAGAGGGCAGGCTGGCAAAGGTCCTTTTCTTTCAATTTAAGGTTACACATTTACGTAAGAAAGCGGATCTGGAATTAAGTAAAAAATAAATTTCTATGACTTACTTGTCTAGAAACACGTTTTTTTTTCAGGCTAGAACTGTCAAATTTAGTGAATGTTATTTACAAAACTAACAACTGTTTTAACAGTGTTTTTTTATCAAATTAACCCATCTAAAATAGAAAAAATTATAAAAAACAAAAATCTGCCAAAATGTTCGATTTTTTTCGAAAAACCTTATATTTTCGTGTTTTTATGCGCAAATTCTATTTTGATGTTTCATAATCAAAAATCAGTTTATAAACGCTTCCCGTTTCCTTGGAGATATATTAGGAAAATTGGGGCCAAAGAAAAAAGCCCCCCCCCCGATAATAGAAAAGCACCCAAATTATGCTCAAAATTCGAGGGATGATGAGAGCTAGCAGAGATTTTTTGCGGGGAATAAATCTGAAATGAGGGGTGGGATAGCAGCCATTTTTAGGAATACTTAGAGTTAAGAATTATCGAACGCGAATTCTGGTAGAAACAAATTCTCAATAATGTTTTTAAAATAAATGAAACACATTTTTCCAGGCCTCTCCGAGCGCCTAACCAATTGGGGCCCAGCCGCGGTGCCCTCAATTTTCATCTCGAGGCTTTTACCGTCTGGCCTAGCCGCCTCGACAAATCTTCTCCACGAGGGCGATGAAATTCTCGAAGTGAACGGCATTGATGTGAGTCGATTTTCTATTTTATTAATCTCCGAAACATTTTTTCGACTAATAAAGCCTTTTAACCCCGAAACAAAGTATAATTATTTTTCAAGGTGCTTTCTCAAATTCAGAAATTTAGGCGTTGTATCTTATCGTTAAGCTGCTTAATTAAAACCTCACAAATTCAAATAGAACTAAATTATCTTAATTAACAACTCGACGAAAATCACGTTTTCGTTTTTGTTTTTAAGATAAGTTTCATTAGTTTTCCTAACCTAAACAGCGCCAATAAGCTATAATCATCCAATGTATTTTCTTGGAACTTTTCTCCTTGAATCCCAATTAAAAATTTTAGCATTTGCAAGTTGAAATTAGTTTAATTGAGGTAGCCAATAAACTGTGTAACTGGAAATTCAGCGCCATTGAAAATCCTTTTAGTCGAATAAAAATAATTAGCGCCAGAAAAGTGTTTCAATTTCTCTACGATAACCGTGAAAAATCTATGGACTAATGGGGACTTTACCCTCACTAGTTAGATATCTAAAAAATCAATGTTTCGTTTTTTTCTAAGACTACCAAAGAAAAAAGTTTGCTTAATACTTCGCTGCTGGATTTATCATTTAAATTCCCCAATTTTATACCTTTTTATCGGTTATTATCAGTTTCTCGAAAATTAAATTCTCGAAAGCATTTTATCAAATTTTCCTTATGCTGAAAATTGAGTTTCATACATTTTGAATTAATTAATTTCGGCAAAAACGAATTTTGACATACTGTAGACCAATTAGCCAGAACGTATTTTGTTTGTTTCAGATCTGCAGCAAGACCCTCGACCAGGTGACGGATATCATGGTGGCTAATGCTCAAAACCTCGTGCTCACCATCCGGCCAGCCCATGATTTTGTCCATCATAATCGGTGAGTTTTCGAAAAAAGCAAATTATATAATTTAATGGCGTTAAAAAGGCTGTATTAGCAGATTCGTAAAATCTCAATTATTCAGAAAAAAATGCAGTTTTATGCTACACGTCAATAGAATTATCAATAAACAAATAGCCCTTGTCTAGAACAATTTTAAAAACAACGAAAAAATAAAAATGAAATAAAAAGAAAAATAATACATAAAGAAAAAAAGAAAAAGTTTCTTTTCTCCAAGTTTCACTGGATAATATCATGCATCCAAAATAGCGCCACTCTCAAAATTCTATGAAACATATTTTTGTAGGATGACTCGCCTGGCCTACGCCCCGCCCCCGTATCCTTCCACTTTCTCGCCGATGAGCCTACGCGACAATACGCCGATACCGATGGGACATTACGGTAGGTTTAGAAATTATTTTGAGAGTAGTTTCCCCCAATGGTCTCTGCTAGCCTGCCCTGGGCTCAGTATTATATAACCTCAACGACAAATAGAAAATAAATAAAAAATAAAAATAGAACGATTTTCTGATCAAAGTTCGGATCTTTAATAATTTTGAAAGTTTCTAACTAATTTTCGAAAAACAGCTGAATTTTGCTAAAAACACTACTAAATACCTGCTATTAAGTTAATAGGCATATATGGACTTCAAGTAGCAGTTCGCTCCCCCCCATAATGCAAAAGCACAATTTTCCTAACTATTACTATTACATTATTTGTAAATGGTCTCTGCTAGCTTGCCTGGACTTTAAAGTAAGTGCACAAACCCCTGAAGCGCCTCTCAATTACAAATAAACTAATGTTTTCGATTTTTGAAAATTTTTGAAACGCCTAATTTTCGTACTTAAAGGGGTTATTCCCCTTGACTCCTGTCCTGCGCTTTGCGCTTTGCTATCCTGTCCCTTAAAAAGATTTTTCCAAAGAAAACATCTGCTTATTAAAACGACTAATTTGTGCCGGATTCTTAAAAAATTATGAAACATTCAATTTTTAGGTGGAGGTCCTCACTTCCACATCGCCCACCCGGGCAGCCCGTACATTCACGGTGCCCCGGAGGTGTACTCCATCGGCGAGCAGTTCAGGTAAAAATACCGTTAAAATTTTTATTTACAGCTTTTAGTAATCTTTATTAACATTAAACAAATTTTAGTCATTTTTACCGCTATAGTAGATCGCGAATTTAGCTAATAAAAATAATAAAATTTATAAAATTGATTAGGAACGTCTAAATAGGCATCTTTTAGTCGCGCGTCCATTAACACGGCTTCGACGAGCAGCGGAAGCAGTGGATCCGGACGGAATTGGAGGAGGAATCAGAATCAGGTAAAACAGTAAAACTTCTACTATCAGTAAATGCGCGATTTTTTTCGTTTTTGACAAAAAGTGAAACAACGTTTTTCCGAAGTCCAGTAATTAAATGAACGAGCTAAAATTGCTACGCAAAAGATTTTCTAACTCTAAAAGAAAGTTCAAACAATTTTTTCTAAAAGTCAAAGTTTTTATCACAGCGATAGGTTGAATTGTTAAAAAATACGTATTTTTTTAATTGTCATGTCGTATTTTAATGAATTCTTAATATGTCAATATTTTAGCCCCCAGACGCCTACCCGTCTCCGCATCTCCCACCGTACCTCCCGCCACAAATCTCGATCCGGCGCATCCCACGCCCATTCTCCGTACACACGGACGCCTTCGTACCCCACGAAAAACAAGTGCCCATTCAGGCACATCGATTTTCTGGCATCTACCATGAACGATATTAATTTTGCACATTGACGATACCTGCCTTGTGATTTTTTAACGATTTAATGGACCGAACTTCGAATAAAAAAACAAACCCCTTGTTTGAAAGTACAGAAAAAAGCTTCTAGACTGTTAACGGGGGGCGATTTTTAGCGGGCGAGTTAGGGTTTAGGTGAGAGTTAGGTGTATGCAAATGCCACTTAAATTAACTAGCAATATTTAGGAAAATGTTCAAAAAAAAAGCAGTACCAGCACCGTGAATTATATGTTTCTTGAAATCACAAACTATCGAGTAAAAAAGACTAGAAAAATACAGCCAGGGCGGCAGAGCTAATTTAATTTCGGAAGCGAATAGACATGGCAAGCTAGCCGAGATTGTTTCGGGAATTCCTGGGAGCCGAAGAAACATCTTGCTCAGAAATTTTCGTGTTTCATCGATCTCTCCAAAGAAGATTTTCCGACAATTTTAATCCAGTTTAAAAATACCTGTATCAAAAAATTCTAAAAAGCCAGAGTTGCTGGTGCATTATTTTTGCCATCCAGATACAACCATTTACAAAAAAAATTACATAATTCTAGTTATAAATTATGATCCTAGAATTTGCATAAATTGAGGACACGCATATTTTGCATAAATTCTACCGTATATCAGCCATCTCCCCCAAGTAATCCACCATTTACTACCGTACCCCCTTGCGCCCGCAGCGCACGTTTTTTTGTGTCTGTGCTAACCGAAAAATGCGGCTTTCTACTTCGCTAATCTTTCTAACCAGCCTGGTCGCGGCGGCCGTTTTTGGTGGGTTTATATGCAAATTTTGGGTTTATGGAGATTTTGGATGAAGAGCGATACAAAATACCGAGCGAAACATGGATTAATTTGTAACACTTAAAAAAATTTGTTTTCTACCGTATTTTCGCAAGAATTGCCTCAAATACTCAAATTTAAAAATTGTTTCGGTTTAAGAAATGTTTAAGAATTTTCGGGCGAAGTGTTCACAGCACAGTAATAGGTTTCAAATTTTCACGGAAATACCAAGAATTGATGAAACCAAATTTTTTTTGTAGAATAATGATAGCCAGATTTTCATGAATTTAAGGTTTGATGAATTAAATACGATTCAAAACCGTTTTTAAAACCAAATAGCAATAATTTATTAAAGTTTTGTTTGGGAATTCTCTTTTTTAAAAGAATAATGTAGTATAATTTTAATATATGGATATTTTAACAAACTTACAAAATATTTCGCTAGCAAAGCGCTTTTGAAACGAAATAGTCGCAACTATGAAACATCTTAACGTCAAAAATTTTTAGAAGTAAATGTAATCGATTTGGCTTATTTAATGATTCGATTGTATAGGATTAATTTAATTTTTATTAACTTATTTAAGTTAATTAATTTATCGCTTAATTCCAGGCCAGACATTCGACGACAAGCCCGACCCCGACCTCCTGGAAGTCGTCGAGGAATTCCTGCGAGACTCCCACGGTCAGTGGGGCCATCTGCTGTTTGGCGCAGTCGGCAAGCGACTCGGCTAATAAACTAGGGGCCAGGGTTCGATCCCGTACGCCGAATTTTTGTCTTTTTGGTTTTAGGACTTAAAATTTTTTTGTAAATTACGATTTTTTTAGTTGCCGACGGCTTGATGAAGGCGAATCCATCAGAGGCGCCCTCAGCTGCTCCCTCAGCTGCTCCATCTGCTGCTCCATCAGCTGCTCCATCAGCTGCTCCCTCTGATGCTCCCTCGGCTGCTCCATCTGATGCTCCCTCAGCCGCTCCATCGGCTGCTCCATCGGCTGCTCCCTCGGCTGCTCCGTCTGATGCTCCATCGGCCGCTCCATCAGCTGCTCCGTCAGATCCTCCATCGGTCGCACCATCCGCTGCTCCTCCCTCAACACCCGCGACGCCTAAGCTCCCACCGGCCAAGTGTGATGAAGGTGAGCAACAGGGCTAGCAGGGATTGGTGGGGAATTTTTCGGCTTTCTAAAAATGCTTTTTATTTTCTTTCTTCCTTTTTTGGTTCCAATAAATTGATCTGAGCTTTTGCATTATCGGGGGGTGGGTGGGGCGTGCCAAGGGGCAGAAGCGCTAGGAGAAAAGAACCCATGGAGAAATTCTCGGCCTTAGAAAATCTCCCAAAGGTTTCTTTTTTTGCTCAAAAAAACGCTGCTAGCCTGTCCGGCCCATTCTTATTTGTCTTCAAGGTTAGAGTGCAGTTTACCCCCCCCCAGCCCTAACTTTTCAACCATACGTCCTATTAATGCGCTGAGTATCTCAAAATGTTCGCCGTGGTCGAATTACTATAAAAAAATTGTTTTCTTGCGGCAAAAATTGCTAAAAAATTTTTTACAAGATTTTGAAAGTTGAAAAGATTAAGCCGCTATGCTTCGATGTACTAGGAGTCTAAAACTCAAATATTTTTATTTTCCGCTATTTTTTTCGGCTCAAACGTACTGTAGGCTTATTCTCTAAAGCAAGAGCTACATTTTGGTACTATTGACAGCTCTGTACGTCAAAAGATAGCCGAGATACGAAAACCCACTTTGGAACAGCAAAAATTAACTAAAGAAAACCCAGACTTATAATTGTTATAAAAATTTTTCTAACAATTTTTGATGTAAGAAAACAACTTTTTTATAGTAATTCGACCACGGCGAACATTTTGAGATACTCGGCGCATTAATAGGACGTATGGCTGAAAAGTTAGGGCTGGGGGGTAAACTGCACTCAAGCCGTCTTCAATTGTGCATTGATTTTAGGGCTCCAAGTGAAACCGGAGGAGCTGGCCCGGTACATGTTCAGCCCACGAGGGGATGGCATCTGTCCCGAATGGGGCATTCGTTGTATTTCCGGAATGGGATTCTGTTCGCCTGTCATCCGAAAGCTGCATCCGGTAAGGCTAGCAGAGATTGTTGAGGAAGAGGAGAGGGCAGGCTAGCAGAGATTGTTGAGGAAGAGGAGAGGGCAGGCTAGCAGAGATTGATGAGGAAGAGGAGAGGGCAGGCTAGCAGAGATTGTTGATGAAGAGGAGAGGGCAGGCTAGCAGAGATTGTTGAGGAAGAGGAGAGGGCAGGCTAGCAGAGATTGATGAGGAAGAGGAGAGGGCAGGCTAGCAGAGATTGTTGAGGAAGAGGAGAGGGCAGGCTAGCAGAGATTGTTGAGGAAGAGGAGAGGGCAGGCTAGCAGTAATTTTTATTAATTTTTTATGTGCTTTTTTACAGGAAAAAGTGCAAGTTATGTTCGCATTGTGCATGACCGAGAACGAGAAGCTGCAGGGGCATTTGGCCACCGCCTCCCTGAAGCGTCGCGATGACCGGACGGCCCCCTGCAATCATCTCAAGGCGGTCAGACAGTTTTCCCAAATGACCTTTGCTAGCCTGCAGATGTTTTAAGGGGCTATTGAAGGCTAAAGAAACCATTTTTACAAGTTTCTTCAGCGCTACCTCGAGCTGTGCAAGACGAAGGCGTTCGGGGAGAAATCCTTCTGCGCTTACTACGATAACCGCATGCTGGCCAGGTAATAGATGACTTACGCGTCCCTTTAAAATATCAAATGGTCTCTTCTTACCGCCCCGAACTGGCTGATGTTGTTGTTCAGCTACTTGGGCCCGTTGCTGATGGCCCTCGGGGTGACGATGATCGCCGTCTCGATCACGCACTGTGTTCTGCGCGGGCGCCGACGCGCCGAAGAGGCCGCCGCCTTCGATGCCATCACCCCCGCCGCCAGCAATGTTCTATGGTGGGGGGAAGCTTGAAATCTCTGTCACCATCCCTTTAAAAATTTTTACACTTTAAAAAAGGCTTAAACAAGGCGTGGCCGCTAAAATTTAATGTTTTAAGGGCATAATTGGTCCCAAAAACTATTTTAAAGGTAGTGGGCCAGCTACAAAAAATATTTTAAAGGTGTTGTGAAGCCAGAAATAGTTTAAAAACAGTGACCCAGCTAAAAAAAATTAGTTTAAAGCGATCATAAAGTCAAAAATAGATTTTCAAGGCTGCGAGCTCGCTGTAAAAATTATTTTTAAAGTATTTGCAAGCCAGAATTGGATTTAAGGGCAGTGAGACATCTAAAAAAATTATTGTAAAGGCGGTGTGAAGTCAAGAATTTTTAGCGAGGAGCTGCTGGCGTTTGGAAGTGATTTAGGTCCCTTAAAAGCGTAAAGTCAACCCTAGAAAAAATCTTCAAATCTTTCTGGGCGCGGGAAAAATTCCATTTTCAAGACAATTTTGCGTTTTTAAATACCTTCGCTAATTTTAATTTTAATTATTTTAAAAATAAAAAAGCTTCATTTTATAGATATTGAAAGAATCATTTCAAGATTTTTCGGATCAAATTTGGCATTATTACTTGAAGAGGCTTACAAAGAATTAAGCGACACCTCAAAGTTTTGGGATCGATTTTTTTGAAACATTTTTTCTTAGAAAGCTGTGACAAGTGCCGTCAAATATAAGTGTTTTCAGATTCTCGAATCGACACTCGGCCCCGCAAGAAATCTTCAGCCACCACTCGACCCATCCGCCGCGACTACCATTGGTGCGCAAACGGATCATCTACTGGCCTCGATCATTTCTTTGCATGCCCCTTTTTTTATGTCTTCCCACTCGCCCCGCTTTGAATAAATGATTTTTGGGCCATGTCGAATGCGAGTCGCATGCGATTCACACGCAAAAAATAATATTGAACAAAAATCAACTAATGAATTAAAACTACCTTCAAAATTGACGAAAAAAGCGGAGAAATCGAAAAATAGAGAAGTTTTATCTTTGTGGTTCTCGTTTTCTGTCGCTGCGTCGCTCGCTCTCACTCACCGGCTCAATTTCTATCTATCTCTCTCTCTCTCGCTCTGTCTCTCACTCTCTCACTCTCTTTCTCTCTCTCTCTCTCTCTCTCTCGTTCTCTTGGTATTTCCCTATCTCGCTCGCTGTCTCCCAGGGTCTCTGTCATTCCATCTCTCACTCTCTCTCTCCCTCTCTCACACTCTCTCTCGCTCACTCTCTCTCTCTCTCTCTCTCTCTCTGTCGGCCTCGCTGTCTCTCGCTGTCTCTCACTCTCTCGCAGTCTCTCTCCCTCCCTGAAAAACCCTGCCAGCCTCATCCTGATAAAACATAGATTCCCATTTTCAAAAAATATGTTTCAACTAATTCTAAAATTCCGCAAATTTCATGTTGTGGAATCCGGCAAAAATCACCGATGCTTTAAAAAAAGACGCTATTTTCCATACACCAATCATAAACAATCTGCATACCGGAAATGCCCAAAATTAGCCTCCAACATCTGGTATAAAAGGCAATCCCGCGAAGCCCGGAACCCTCTCACCCCCAACCCTCCCGATTTCACACCAAAAGATGCGGCTCGCCCTCCCGCTAATCGCCCTGCTCGCCGTCGTCGGCCACACCGTCGCCAATTCGCCGGTTTTTGGTATGCTAATTGGGGGAATTATGCAAATTAACTCAATTTTTGCAGAAAAGTACGACGACGTCTGGGATATCCTGCACCCGCAGGAGAAGCAGCACCAAGAAAAGCCGCAGTTGGAGCAACAGAAGCAGCAGAAGCAGCCGCAGCAGCAGCACGCCCTCAAGGATGGCGGTAAGAACCGTTTCGCCCGGCTCCCTGTTCATCTACAGGTGTGTAAAGTACCGCAAAACGTTCGCCTTGCTCTGGCGAGTATTTTGGTATACTTTACACACCTGTAGATGAACAGGGGAGTCGAGATACGGTAGACGGGGTGGCTTCCCCCCGCTAAAGAACCAGAACCTTCGTCTCTTTAAAGGAGTTTGGAAGACAACATGTGGTCGCTCATCCTGAAATCTGTGTATTTCAGCGCCGCCCGCCAAGCTGGACGGCCGTGGCGCGCCCGCCGCCAAGCCTGGCGCCCCCGCTGGCAATGATGGCGGTACGATGCTACTTGAGCTACCCTGTAAAGTGCCCGTTTCAGTGCCAGCCGTCAAGCCGGACGTTCCGGGCGCCCCTGCCGGCAAACCGGATGCCCCTGCCGGAAACCCGGCAGCTCCGGCCGCCGCGTCGGAACAGCCCCCACCGGCCAACCCGCCATCCGCGGCCCGCCGCCCGCGGCCCCGCCCACTGCGGCAACACAGCCTACCGCGGCACCACCGCCTTCCGCGGCTCCGCCTGCCCCGCCGGCCGGACAGCCAACCCAGCCGCCGCCCGCGCCGCCGCCCCAGCCGCCAGCCACCCAGCCGACGGTACTGCACTGTTAGCGGGGGGGGTCACTTTCTGTTTTTCCACCTACCCGTTGGTCTTATATTTTGTATTTTATCGGGGTTTTATTAGTTTTTGCTTGCGAGAAAGTTATCAACCTATTTTTTAAAGTTTTGAAAGTTCAGAAATCTGACCGTTTTTGGTCATTTTTCATACATTTTTGGCCATTTTCGAATTTTTTGTAAGGTTTTTATGACTGAAAACTCTGTAAAATGCTAAAATAATTGCTTATATTTAATATAATTATAGGGCGGTAAGAACCACAGGGAAAAATGTCTTCCTCCCCCGCTAACAGACCTGTACCTAGACGCCGCCAACGACACCACCCACGACGACGACCACCACGGAGGCCCCGACGACTGCCGTGACTGAGCCCCCGACCACTAAATCACAACCGTCTCCACCCTGCGGGAGTCAGCAAATTTTTCACGGATCTTTGGCAATATCGGGGGTTAGAGTGCAGTTTACCCCCCCCAGCCCAGCTCCTCAGCCATACGTCCTATTAATGCGCCGAGTATCTCAAAATGTTCGCCGTGGTCGAAAACCCTTGGAAAAGTTGTTTACTTGCGCCAAAAATTGTTAAAAAAATTTTTATAAGAATTATAAGTCTGGGTTTTCTTTAGTTAATTTTTGCTGTTCCAAAGTGAGTTTTCATATCTCGGCTATCTTTTGATGTACAGAGCTGTCAATGGTACCAAAATGTAGCTCTTGCTCTGTAGAATCAGGCTACAGTACGTTTGAAACGAAAAAATAGCGGAAAATGAAAATATTAAAGTTTTAGACCCCCTGGTACACTTAATCTTCTGAACTTTGAAAATTTTGTAAAAATTTTTCCTATCAATTTTTTTCCGAAAGTAAATAACATTTTTATGATAATTCGACCACGGCGAACATTTTCAGATACTCGGCGCATTAATAAGATGTATGGCTGAAAAGTTGCGGGTATCTGAATTTGGAATTGGCAAACCCAGCACAAGTACCATTATTCTTCAGCCGAGATCATGTTCCCGCCGGGCATGGGCGCAGGCAACCAAGAGCCGACGAAGGACGAGTTGACAAAGATCTTCGGGGGGCTGTACTGCGCTGAATGGTACAATTGCCTCTTCGTGACGAAGGACGGATGCGCCGCCGTCGTCGGGCAACTCCATCCGGTACGCGCAACTTTCGGGGAATTGGGTTTGGGCGGCTCTTCCATATTTTACTAGGTTAGAGTGCAGTTTACCCCTCTTCCCGGCACCCACTTACAGTAATCTACATCTCCTGTTCATCTACAGTGTGCAAAGTATACCAAAATACTCGCCAGAGCAAGACGAACATTTTGATATACTTTACACACCTGTAGATGAACAGGGAGCCGATATACGGTAGGTGGGTGCCGGCTGGGGGGGTAAACTGCACTTAAGCCTTTTACTATTGTATCGTGATTTTGGCAATGCCATTCGATAGAGCATCGGAAATTCTGCTAAAAGTTTTTGTTGTAGCTCAAATTCTTGTAATATAAAAAAATTAGAGCTGACACAAAAACCACGCTTGAAACCGGGGGAAGCATGTTATTTTTCGATATTTTCGTGATATTTTCGATTATTTGAAGCTACCATTCAATAGAGCATCAAAAACTATACTAAGCGTTTTAATTTCATCTCAAAATAGCGCAATATAAAATAGTTATGGCGAAAACAAGGTTTAGACGCGGTTTCCGCTGGGAAACATTAGGTGAGAAGCTAGTTTTCAATATTTTACAAATTTTGCTAAGCGCCATTGGAAAGAGCGTGAAAAAATATACAAAGGCCTATAATTTCAACTCAGAATAGCGTATTATAAAATAGTTATTGCAAAAAGAAGTAGCTTACCGCACATTTTTTTTCTAGGACAAGCTCTTCCTCGCCTACGGTACCTGCCTCAAGAACAATGGCCCCGATGACCTGAAGGCCGCCTGCCCCGCCCTTGCCAACGTGAGCGGCTTTAAAATTCGAAAATTTGGGCTTGCTTTTGACCCATGGTCAACTGGTAAAGCTCCAGCCGGGCCATCGTACCACCCGGGTTCGATCCCGGGCGCCGCGCAACTTTTTGCTTTTCGCCGAAAAGTATCATCAGAAATGAATTTTGTAGGAGGCGACGAAGGACTGCGGCAAAAAGGCCGACAAGATCAAAATGGCCGGCCTGAAGGAGAAGCTCGGCAAGCTGTGCACCTACTACGACAACAAGTCGATGTTCATGTGGGTGATACCTTACGGGATACTACACGATTTCGTTACGATCCACTATCGAAATGAAGAGTTTCTACCCGGCTTTCTTGCTATTACAAAGCTTACAAACTTTACAAATTTTTACTACTTACTTTTTGTACTTTTTAGGATCATCGGCGGTGTCCTGCTGGCCGTCGGGCTGCTGCCGATCGTGGGCGGCGTCGTGTTCTGCATGAAGGGCGGCGGCAAGAAGAAGGAGAAGAGCGTCTCCAACTCGGATCCGGAGTGGTAGGGAATTTTGGCAGGAGGAAAACGAATTTTTGGTTTTCCGTCTATACCTACCTCTTAATAGTAAATAGTGTAATTTCCTATTTTTCGTATTCTTCTTATTTTTTGGTTGATTGCTAGAAAGCTACAAACATTTTCTTAAACATTTTTTAATTGTAAAATTCTGGCCTTTTGGCCTTTCTTTCTTACATTTATGACCGAAAGGCCTAAAAATTACACAAAATTTATCGGTTTTTAGGAGCATTTCGTAAAAACTCACTAAAAACGGTTTATGTTTTTGTATAGGACCGTACAGGATTACTGGGAAAAATTAGACCCCCTGCTAATAGCCCAGTACCCCAAGCACACCCCGACCCTTAATACTAACTTCCAGATCAACCTCCATCGGCCCGGCTATAGACGACCCCAAATGACACCACCACCACCCTCACCCAGCCTCGCCGACACCATCTCGACCACGAGCCATCAACTCGAAACACCATCCACCCCACCTCCCTACCACCACCACCATAATCTTCTCGTCGACCAACCACCATCCCCCATCCCCCGCCCCCCTCTCTGATACCGTACTTTTCCTGGCCTATCTCTGTCGGCTCCGTTTCTGCCCATCACATTTGTGCTTTCCTGTCCCCGATGGAGTAGTGTTTCCTTTTGTACTGCCCCGAATAAATGCGGTCGACGAGGGACGCGGCCAGTGAATGAGGCGTACACGTGAAACGTTTGAAGTTTCAATGTTTCGAAAAATGCTTTCGGCGCTTAGCGTGCCTCGAATAAGGAATAGCGGTAAAAAAGGGCAAGAATTGGCGCCGAAGTTTTATAGCGTGGGCCGGAAAAACACCCAAAGATACCCGCAAACGAAACGGCTTGTGAAGCTCTGCTCCGCGAGAATAACACGATTAGGAAACCGAAAAAAGCATGATCAAAGCACCGTTTTGGCACTTTGACAAGAGTAAAATATGTATGGTCTCACCCCAATTTCGGCGTAAACTTGAAGGCAAATTGTCGTTTCTCGACTTCGGGAAACGACTTCGACGTCCCGCGCCTCGAGAACCTGTCTAGCCCCCCAAAAAGCTTCGGTGTGGTTTCTAGATGATCTTGGAATTTTACGATGTGATGTAGCTCATCCGATAAAGCTTGACATTTTGAACAAATCGCATATTCTCAAAACCGTTGAACAACAACGGTCGAGATCATCCGCTCTGAAAGGGCCGATTTTATGCCGATTATCTATCGATTGAGCTATTACACATAGCAAAATTTCAAGGTCACCTAAAAACCGCTCCTTGTAAGTAAAGACGCAATAACTAAACGTCATGCACCGCTAATAAAAAGGACATCACTTCCAGGTTGTGCCAAAAAGTCGATTTTCGCTACAATGCTAGATAGAATGGCACATCGGGCCAAGCTCTAATGATTTTTCCGCTAAAAAGGCGTAAATCGAAAGCTACAAGCTGCGAATAGATCAGAATTTCGTTAATTTAATTTTTTTTGGTTAGTTTTCTAAAGCTCTTTAGCTTTTTACAGTTTTTTTATTCGCCAGAGACTTTTCCGCGACGCTCCGCCACACCCCGCTACGGTAGGGTCCCGGCACGACCGGTCGACCAGCTGCATTTCAGTGCTCTTCCTTTTTTCCAGCATTTTACCTCTCGAAAAGTGCTGGTTCACGCACGAGTACTTCGGATTCTGTTAGTTTTTCTTTTTTTTTTGTTGATTTTAGTAAAGCGAAGTTTTTTGAAACGCCAAAACCGTTCATTTTTGGTGCGCGTTTAAAGGGGCTCCGAAATCTGGTCCACGGCCCCCTGCTGTGATTCCTGGCAAATAGCCAGATGCGACCGCAACGTGACCGCGCCGCATGATCTTTTGCCCCTGTTTGGACGCGAAAACGCTTGAATTTAAACATTCTGATGCTATTTTTGGAACCTTCACCAAATTTTGATCATTCTAGACTTTAAATTATGAAAATTTGACCAGAGAATCGCCGGGATCGAGAGATTGGGTGCCATACAGGCATTACGGCAGGTAATCGCCGCGCACTCAAAATGTCGCTTTCGCCCCAAAAGAATTCGATT